AGGCAATAGCGAACTACCTGTGTATAGTAAGCTGTGCCTCAGGTTAGGTAGTATCCATTGGTTTGGAAGTAGGTTATAGTCAGAGGGTTTAAATGGGTACCCCCTTAGTTGGGGTACAGATACGGCAGATAGTGTAAAACCTTCGGGCGGACTATTTAAATTAGACACTTAAAAGATGCACGTGTAGCTATATGTACTCTTACTGTAATTGAAAAACATAACTATCTAATAAAATGTTCCCCGGCCAAAGAGGTCACCTTAATACCGAAAAAAAAAAAAAAAAAAAAAAAGTCCTTTGTAGAGGAGTCCCCCATAGCAGAAAGTTGACCTTTAGACAAACCACTGTTAGGCCATGACTCTCCAACAAATTTTTCTGTTTTTTCCATTAGTGGGAATTTCGGTCCAAGTGATCATTGGAAAGAGTTTTTGATAAAATATAAATCAATAAGAATTAAAATATAGATTTATTTTATTATTATTATTAGTATGAATAATAAAAATTTATTATAAACCTTTAAATTATTAATGTGTTTTATTTAAAGATTTATTTGTTAGTTTAATTTTAAAAAAAATTTAATGCTCCGGCTCATGCTAATTTTCAGTTTTTAGGGTAGATTAGTGTTCAAAAAACTGAATAAGGACCAGTCTTTTGACCAGTTTTATGATTATTTAGTCTTCGATCTGAGATTAGCTTGGACTAGTCTTTATAAATAGTTAAAAATATAGTTATGTTAATCCACTCCGTTAGCCAATAAAATAATTAGAGACTAGGACTAATAAACATAATAAACTGGTCTTATTAGAGATCGGTAGAGTGGACTATATTAGGGTGTCCAGCTTACTGTCTACTGCTTGCACAGATTCTGCTTAAAAAAAGCCGAATAAGCAGAAAAGCAGAATTATTATTAGCTATACGTATAACGATAATAATTACTAATAACAACTGAAATCTTCTCAATTGTAATTGGTTATGCAGATTAAGCAGAAAAAGCCAATAAAAGCATATTTCTGGACATTCTAGACTAGACTAATCTATTCTTATCTGTTTCTAATAATATTTTTATACCGATTGACACCCGATTGATATTGTATGCCAATTTGCACAAATTGGCAGTAAATCGGTTAAAGAAATGTACAGTATGTATGTATATTTATATAAATAGCTATGTAAATCTAGATTGGTTTATAGAACTACATAAAATTTTACATAATTCTACGGTCAACATTTCGTAAGTGCACCCCTTGGGACCATAGGCAAAATTTTCAAAAAAATATGCATTTGGAGATGGTGCGCATTTATGGAGGGCATTTATTAAGAACTCTATATGCTTGGGCATTTAGAGAGGGTATATCATTTGTGGAAGGTGCACTTATGGAGGGTTGACTGTACATAAAATTTTACATAATTCTACATAAAAACAACTTCGTTATAAATATTTTCATGAACTTAGTAAATTCTCGTTTCCCAGTTAAAAAATGTTTTTATACGACCACTAAACATTATCAATCGAACACAACTGTTTTCAAGTGCGGTTAGTAAACGTTTAATTAGCCAAGATTATAATAATCTGGTTTAACAGTATAAGAGTTTTTAATTTTAAAATTTTACTACGGTAACTATAGTTCAGTGCGATGGTGACGAGTACCCTAGCCATGGCGAAAAATGCTTTGGTCACGTGATGAAGCAAATGTTGGTGAGAAAAATTTAAGATACCAGATACTAGCGAAGATTTCTCAGTAATGACTTGATTAAACTCAGTAAAAAAAAAAAAAATAGGTTTTTTCTATACATTTATAGAATTAAATAAAGAAAAATTCATCGAATTTGAATAGATGATTATTGAGAAATCTTCACTAAAAGTTTTAAAAAACGTTCGAATATCAAAAAATTAAAAAATCGGTCAATTTTCTTTCTTTAAACTAAGATTTTATAAAAAAAAATTTTATCGAAATTGGATAGGTATAGAGATGTGCGAATGCAAGTTTTTTTGGCTTTGCATTATATAATGCACATTATGTCGCATGATACATTATGCAATTCTGTATAATACTGTGGACCTCTCAAAACCTATATACAGTGAACAGACTTTGTATTATTACTGAGAGATTATCGGATTTGAAAACATAAAAATTAGATTTATATAGTGAAAACAGACCTGGTAGATTATTTTTTGTTGGATTTCACAGGCTATGAATTTAAGTGTCTATAAAGTAATTGTTGATGAAATGACATGGAACAAAATTACATAATAACTTCTATGTGCATTTTTAAATTTTAGGCAACCTGCATCGCATTATGCAGCATTATGTAACATGCAACATCGCCTGCATAATGCATATCTCCAGAAAAAGTTTTAGGAGAATTGGCCGCAGCTTTTTTTATAAACTTTGAAAGATTACTGACCTGATCAAATTCGGTCAATTTTTATTTTATTTTATTTTTATAAACTTATAAAATTAAAATAAAAAATTATAATCAGGGTGAATGCCGAGTAATCTTTGTTCAAAGTTTAGGCACCTATAAAAAAAAGAATAGTGTTTCAACCCGTCTAAAAAACCATGACCCGAGTGGATTTTGCTAATTTTTGATGTGTAAACAAGTTGCTTTAATTTACTTTTCCAATTAAGTTCTCTAAAAATTGATAATAAGGGCTTATGAAGGGTTTCTTTATTCGCATGTTGAAATACCATCAAATATTCATTATTATATAGTATGTTTTGAATTAGTCTATACACCACAAGATTATTACCGACTAATATAAGTCCCGTAATTCATGTTAATATTTATTTATATTAAATCATAAATAAATATTTCAACTTCTAAAAAACTCTTGCGAATCAGGCATGATAATTATGTGGTACGTAGGTTTTCTGTATCTATTTCTGATATTCTTTTACCATTTAACCATGATGCTGAATCACTGAGCCATACCCCCTTTTGACTGTTATGCAATCTTTTAAAAGAATCAATTCGATACGCCTTAATAGTTTGTAGCTTTAAGTTGAATTTCTAAACATCGATATCTTTATTTCTACTTGTCATCATTGTACTGGGACTGCATGTCATACCAAGCGGACGATGTATTATATCGATTGTAATTTACGTATACTTGTAGGTGGACCCGGGTTGAAGCACTAAAAAGAAGCTGCGGCTAATTTTTTTCTAAAACTTTTAGTAAAATTTCTCAACCACGTATCCAATTTCAATAAAATTTAAAAAAAATTAGCTGCAGCTTCTTTTTATAGGTGCCTAAACTTTGAACGAAGATTTCTCGGCATTCATTCTGATCAAATTCGATCAAATTTTTTTATTTTAATTCTACAAGTTTATAAAAATAAATAAAAAATTTTGATCGAATTTGGTCAGGTGAGTGCCGAGTGACCTTTGTTCAAAGTTTAGGCACCTATAAAAAGAAGCTGCGGCTAATTCTTCCTAAAACTTTATCTTTTGACAACTTATCCAATTCCGATAAATTTTTTTACTTTAATTCTATAAATTTACAGAATTAAAATAAAAAAAAAATCATCGAATTTGAATCGCTGATTGTTGAGAAATCTTTAAAAAAAAAAAAAAAAAAGAAAATTTACCTCGACTTTTTAATTTTTCCAAGATATTCGAACGTTTCTAACTGTTAGCGAAGATTTCTTAACAATCATCTATTAAAATTCGATAATTTTTTTTATTTTAATTCTACAAATATATAAAATTTTTACTGAGTTTAATCAAGTCATTATTGCTAGAATCTTTAAATTTTCAAAATCCAATATTTTGATTGGCTGCTTAAATCACATGACCAGAACTTTGTCTAGGGTACTCGTGATGACGTATGGACATCACCACCATTATGTAAAGAGGCAGCTACCTCTGACTTTCCAGAATCTATCAAGTATATAAATCCATACAAAATCTCAGACGGTGATTTTAACAAATGGTGTGCACATTAAATATTAGTGCTACTGATTAACTTAAAGATAATTTTTTTTTTTATATAATCATAATAAAAACACGAATATTTTCTTCTCTATATTACTCCCTTAGAAACTTTATAAAATGGAACAATATCATTAGTAAGCATCATTTCAAATTAAATAAATGACAAAAAATTCATGAAAATAAATGAGATTATATTTTTTTATACATGGTAAAATATCTACAAATTAATGAACGTTTTACTAACAAATCTTAATAATAATCTATATATTCAAAATACTATTGATAGGATATTACAGCAATTTTTTTTTAACAAAAGACAAATGTTCATTATACATATTTGAACCTCTACCTTCTATAAACGCATCATAAGCGCTTTCCAACACACCAAGCCAAGATCCAGGATCAATTGACCTACGCCAGTTGTTGTGCCAATGATAAGTGAAAGCACCTCTAAAAAACTGATGTTTATGCCTCAACTTCAATGGATCATTGTTCATTTTTCTAACCAAGCTTGCCGGAAATTCATAATCCAAAACATAAGGTTTAAATACATCCAAAAAAACGTTCAGATTTGGTCTTAATATTTGATTTACAATGGTTAAATCAACTTTTAACCATAAAGGATCAAATAAAATTACCGGCATCATATAAAGATGCTGATTCAAATCTTGAATAGTTATTGATTTGGACCTATCCTTTATAATGTATTCTTTAATCGACATCGGATGAAAATCCATATTGCTCAACATCGCTTCCTGAATAATTGTTCTACCTATAGTACTATTAGGATGAAGTCTTAATATAGCAGTATTATAATGAGTCCAAAAACTCCAACGATAAGCAAAGTCAAAGTTCAAATTATAAATCGGGCTCATATCTCTAAGACAAAGTACATCAGCATCCAAGTACATTCCACCATAACGATGAAGTAATGCAAAACGTACTATATCACTAAATCCAACAACATTTTGACTTAAACTTAACTTAGACTTCCAACCATGAAAAATAGGATCGGAATTCAATTGTTCATCGGTGATCCATTTTTTAAAGAATAAATTTTTTCCCGAGAAACGAATTAATGGCCAAATCTTTTTATTCAATCGAAGATCTTCATAGTTTTCGTCAACCCAAATATATAGACAAGAGCACCTTAAAGGTTGAGTGTATAAAAAAGATTTAATCATTAAAGCAATTTTTTCGGCATCTTTACCTCTCCAATAAACATGAAAAATCATTGGATCATTTTCATTACAATATTTTGGAGAAGAAGGTTTTACCAAATAATCAGCTTGTTTTGAATCCAAATAATCCAAACAATTTTGTACGGGATATTTATAAAGTACGGCGGTGGTATAATTTATTGGTTCACAATGTTTATTAACCCGATTTATGTCAATGACATAACCGTCAGGAGGTCGGTTTTGATAATTCACGGTAGATGCGTTTGAATGTTGAGGTAATATTATATTAATTTTGATTATGGGATAGTTTAAGTAATTGATAAAATCAAATACGAAGACCAGATGTAAAAGAGGTATTGCTATTATAAAGGTTAATAAAAAGGTGTAAAATTTTAATCCGTGTGATGCCTTAATATCTTTAATTAACGATATAAATTTAATTGGAGACATGGTATGTATTAATTATAAATAAAAAAACATATCTTAATAAAAAGTGCTTCTATGAAAAAAAAATAAAAAATAAAAAAATAAAAAAAAATGAAATTCAGTTATATGCTTTTGACCTGATTTAATGGGCAAAATATTATCATTTATAACCTAATGTCCGTTGTCAGAAAAAGGGAGTGTGCATAGTAATTTTATTGTTATGGAATTTATATTATACGCTTTGTGCCGTGGTTTATGCGTCATTGTTACGGGAATTACTAAAAAGAGAAATTTGTACTTTGTTGTTGAACACATTTATGTGATTTGTAAACCGATTTTATTCACTACTGTATCCCCCATCTACTAAAGTATCATCTAAAGTATCATCTAAATTTAAGTATTTTAATTAAATTTTTTGTACAATGATTTTTCCATGAAATTATGATGAGTTCCATTATTGTGTTAAATAAATAAATGCTATGTCAAAAAATTTTTTACCCATTACTCACATACGTAAACTAATACGATGTGGTGTTTCCTGAATGGGTTTTGTATCTAGCGCTAATCTTTCGGCTTGTATAAACATGTACGTACTGTACGTACAGTACGTACAGATATTGGTATGTATCAGGTATACATACGAACGTATGTACGTACGTACGTATGCGTAATATGTATCAGTATATACCAGAATTCGCGTGACCCTGGCACATCAGCCGATATTTGATTGTTATGGGCTAGGTGCATAATAATTGTTTCACGAAAAACATTATAGTGTTACATATAGATATGCATTACTTAAATAGTAATATATATTACATATGTCTATGTTTTTGATGTAATACGTAGGACGTTACTATTTTGAGTGTCGTAAAATTAAAACCTGGAAATCTTTATAGATAAGATTTCCATGTTTTCTTTTGATGATGCTCATTTATGTACCTCCCGTTTCTAAAGATTATTTTCTTAATATTGTTCTGATGAATCATAATTCATTAGATGCTTTATTCTATTGCTTCTTTTAGATTTATCATGCATCCTCATCTCAGATATGTTCAGGATCAATTTCCGATATCTTATCATTTCGTTGATCTTTCATTTTTTTTTCATGTTTATAATGAGGAGGTTTATCACTACCACTCATTCCCATCTAATTCATAATAGAAATGTTTCTCGCGTCAGACAAATTTAGCATTATGTAAGTATTTTGTGTGTGTAGCACATGTGAAATGTATATATCTTTTTTTAATTAAAATTACCAATATAGGCATAATACAAGGAGGATATCAATCTGATACGTACGTAAATAATTTTTTCTTTTTATAAAATTCATCGACCGCTGTTTTACTACATCTCTAAATATTTTTCATTTTAGGCTTCAAAATTAATGTAAATGAAACAATTGCACAATAAGTCTTTGTGAATTAAATTGCAGAATTGAAATGGATAAACGATATTCACCATTGTAAAATACTCATAAAATCTATCTTAATTTGATCAAGTATTCCATGTAATAAAAAATTCTCAAAAGCAGCCAACACATTGTCAATTGATGCAAATAAAATGAGCAAATAAAATGAGCAAAGACATCGGCTCTTTCAAGTGACAGCACGATTAAGCATAAATTACTACCGTAAATCTCCATATAAAAGACCCCTTGATAGTAGACTCTCCTGTATTATACCCAAGCCTATACCGGGGTTAAGAATTTTGTCGAATGCAAGAGACCCAACGAGCACTTTGACCAGTAATTTAGATTCTTCCAATTCACTGACTGCTCTTTTTTTAACTTTTAATTCTAACAAACATTAATTCTAAATAATCCTATCCTTAAATCGGGCTAATCTTAACTGTTGGAGACGGAGAATAATTGTGGTTATTCTACGTTTCTATATGATCACATGACGGGGTTTTATGACTTATAATCACTACTTTAATCAGTAAAAAAAACGAAATTTTATCAATGCAAGTTATTTCCCGGACTTCCGGGAAAACTAAGAATAATGCCCTTATTTCGCCGCTACGGGGAAATAACCCGGTAGATTTCCACCTTGCTGTGGGCCCTTCGGGCCCCAGATGTACCCCTTATTCCCGCCGTTGCGGGAATAAATCGTACTAATTTATATATATAATAAACAGAAAATTCTCTAGTAGTGGATCGCCATGGTATAATATAGTTTTTAATCGGTGGAATGTAACAATAAACGGTTCTGATAAAATTCGCCGACTGTCGTTTTGCCGACAATCTAATCTAGCCAGGCAAGCCCTAACCTAAATCAGGCCAACATACACAGGTCGTTTATTTGTGGTTGGTTGGAATTTTTTTGAAGTACAAGCAGTTTTGCACCACGTTTAACGATTTGATAGCAGAAATCTTTAACAGCTGCCCTGCTTTTTATTTGGCGTTATCTATATATATCGTAATCACATGATTGTATAATTAAGAATAAACCAATTTTACGCAAATTAGATAATGCAGAACGAAAGTATTTTATTAATTTGGCCATTTGTAACACTAGAAATTTAAAATTGAACGCTAAATTGAACGCTAAATTCTACGTACCTGGTACGTAATTTTGAATTTTCAGATACGTAATTACGCGTTGTAATTTAACTTTGATCAAACAATGATTTTGACTTTTATTAAAACGCACCTATTGTGTTTTACACCTATGTATACATTATTACAAAAATTAACTAATTAATCTGTGTGAGGTATTCTAAGTAAAAATGTTCTACGCCCCTAAAACCCTAACCAAACCCTCTAATACTAGCCCGAATGTAAGTGGAAACGAAATTTAAGTGGATTCGGAATTTCTTAATTAAAATAGGTTAGGGATAGGTTTACATATAATAATTCTACCATAAAATTAGAGAATTCTGAATCCACTCAAATTCCGTTTCCACTTAATACATATGTTATACAAAACCTAGAAAATTATAAAAAATATAATAAAAGCACAATAGGCGTAAACCACCATAGGTGCGTTTTATAATAATTGTTTAAGAATGAAGACCTCAAAATATACTTGGACAAATTTATATTAATAATATTATATAGTATATATTTAAAAATATATAGTAGTGTTTTACGAATCCATCCAACTAGATATTTTTAAGCGCTTTTGCGATAAGTTCGTTCTCTGTTGCACAAGAATCTACGAGAATTGACATCACTCTGACACTCCTAAAATCTTGGTCATTCCTTTTCCGTTAGGCTCGGCTCGGCTCAAAAAGCCAAGCCAAGCCTCAAGTCATGGCTCAAGCCGTCTTGGCTTCATCATATGACGCAATCCTGTCGTCCACGCCAAAAGCAAGTCAGTGTATTTGTGCGCGTACGTACGTACGTAAATATTTTATAAACCTTGCGTGACAATACAGCAATAAGTCGAAAAGATCAAATGTCCATACTGTAAAATTTTCACCTGTAGTATATACCTTGCATTTACTGACCTTGATATTTTAAAATGCTGAATGTTTGAAATTCTTAGTTCTTTAACCTATTTCTAATACGAATACATTTTTACTGGATCTTTTGTCAATATTCACTGGTTAAAAAATCATATTTTAACTAAATAATAACCAGTAATATATAGTACAAATTATAATTTATTTACTATATATATATATTTACTAGGCAATATATGTGGTTTAATATATTTTTAGTTAATAATATGGGCTGCTGTCAATAGAAATCAGGCAGATCGACATTTTAAAAAAAAATCTATACCTCAACTTTCACAGCTCATATATCGATGAATTTTGATGCGATTTTGATGATTAAATATTCAAAAGAAAGCTTAGAACTTACTCTTTCTTTTGAATATTAAATCGTCAAGCTAGCTTCCAAATTCATCGATATATGAGCTGTGAAAGTTGAGGTATAGATTTTTTTTAAAATGTCAATCTGCCTGATTCTATTGATGGCAGCCCATATGTTTAAATACATATATTACCTAGTGAATATAGTAAATAGGTTATAATTTGTATATACTATATATTACCGGTTATTATTTAGTTAAAATATGATTTTTTTTACCAGTGATTGTGTCAACAATTCGCTTCTTACTTTAGATGCAAAACCCAAATGTCAGAATTGTTCAAATATAGCTTGGATAACTGTTGATGAGCTGACGATGCCTAACGAAATTCATGTGATCCGACGAAACTATGTAGTTCGTCAATTCGTCGATGACGAAACTTGTGGTTTCATCAATTTGTCAACGGCAAAAATAATTTCGTCAGGCAACAATATGATGAGCTCCGATAAATATGTCGGATATTCTATATGATTGTCACCTATTTATTATGAAATATCAACTAACACATAAGGTGAATTTGACGAAATAATTAATATGAAACCTTTCTGTTTTTCCATATAAAAGTTTATCTTCTGTTATGAAACCGATATATAATTTGTAATATCTAATTGTGAGCAGATACAAGAAATTTTGGGAGTGGTAAATATTTTGACAAATTGAGATTATTTCGGGATCCAGTAATCAGGTCTGAATGATTTTACACTGAGAGGAATCGAACCGTAAAAAAAAAACTCGAATCCGATACTGGATTCCGACATATCCTCATCTGAATATTATAGTAAGAGAGGAATTATGGCATAGATAGAATTGGATACAGTGTAATCTGACAAGTTTACATCATTCAACTCCTCCCACTGAGAGGAATCAGATGGTATAAAACATTGATCAAGTCTGACCCCACTCATTAAAATATCCTATGTTATACTACTCAATTATGTAATGTATAGTTGTGACCCGAAACTATATCCGAAACCGAAAACCGAAATTCTAACACTATACTGAAAAGCTTAGAAATTTAAATTTAAACTTTAAGACTTGATGTATATGATAATTAGAAATAGCAAATGTGTATTTATTGTTAACATTCTAATTTGAAAGCTTCGGAAAGGTTTCGGGTTACAAGTACAAATGCAATGTATAATCTCTTGTTAAAAATACCTCAATAACAAATAAAAAATATATATATGTTTTTTTTATTTTTTGTGGCTTCAATATTCAATGTATTCATTCTCTTCTTCCCGTCGTTGTATTATAACCTATCATCGAGCTACTGATTTCTATTTGGTAGTCTCCACTCTTGATTGCTTATTCTAGCAATGCATTAATGTTTTCTAAAATGAATAAGCTCCACTAAATCTGCGCAATCATGAACTACGAATAAAATCAAAGATATACGATAAGTCTTTTTATTATTACCAAGTAACATTTGTAAGCACCACCTCATGACATGGATCACGCCAGCTTGAGGAGATTCCATGGTAACTTAAGCCAGCTTTCATAACCACATTTGAAAATATAAGATTTAATAACCGTTAAATTGAATTTCAAAGAATCAATATTTTTATGAAACAGTTTAGTCACTAGAAATTTTCAAATCAGTTAACAAATCTGTCGGCTAAGTTTTTTGATTCTGTTATTGTATGACTGTATTATTGAACTTTGTAGTAAATTTATTTCTTAAATCTACTTTTGCTGGGCTGTCATTGTCTTTCTGGCTCTTGCGTATGTGTCTTTGTTCTCAGAAGACTTGTTATTAATTGCAGCGGTACTAGAATACTAAGTTTAAAATAGTTAATGGCCTTAATAACCTATATTATAGTCTTATAAAAATACTATAAATTTAAGTCTACTTTACATGAACAATAACATACCAGCTCTCGTTTAATGTGCCAAAAATTAGCGATTAACTTATTCCTTGCATTTGAAGAAGTGACTCCCAACTCTTTTAAATCATTTTTAGTCATTTCAATAATTTCATACCATTCTTTACCTTCAAATAATTTTGCAAGATGGGCCAATTTTATGCCATTTAACCATGCCGGAAAATCTTTTCAATGTTTTTAAACAAAGAGTTAAAACTGTGAATCCCCAAAACAGATTTCCACAAATTATAACACACCTTCTAATAACTTAAAATTAACATTAGCATAATTTTTTTCATAGAACTGTAAATATTCCAGTTTTTTTTCTTTCTCGAAATTATTTTTCTCGATATTTCCTTTGTTTGAAGATCCAATTTTCTCTCCTGCCTAACCATTAAAATTTCAATTAACAAACTATAATCCCAAACAACCCAATATTATATATTTATATAAAATAAACTTACAAGATGTCGTCTGACAATTAAAAAATTTTTTATCAATGTTGCTCTATTCTGAAATGATAAAACACCCAATTCTTCTAAATCTTTATAATTCATTTTTATGATTTCTTGCCATTTTTTTCCTCTAAATAAATGTGACAAGTATCCTAATCTAAATCCTCCAAGCCACATAGGAAAGTCTTAAAGATTAATAATAACAAGAGACCAATTATAATTGACTTGCATTACCGATTTGTAACTATAGATATCCTAATAAATTCAAAACACACCTTCTAACAACTTATAATTAACTTTATCTATATAGTTTTCCTTATAAAATTTCTCTCTTCGCTCCTGTTTTATTATTATGTCCTCATTTTTATTAAGATGGCGAGTGAATTTAGAAAAATTTCTGATAAATATTGTAAAAATTCTCATTTTTTTTAAAGCGTAGTTGTTAAATTGAGTTGGTGTCATTCGATCATCTATTTGCCACCAAATATATATGTTGTGTCCAAATATATATGCTATAAATTTCCACATTATAATTTGTTAAGTTACCAGTTACCCCTGTATAGAACTCAACCCCTGAAGAATGGATTCCCTTATGTCAAGAAAATCCCGGGCTAAGGATCTACAAAAATTAGGCTCGGAGCCAATAAAAATTGCAG